TAGCAAGGGGGGTGGAGGGTATGGAGGAGGTGGGTAGGGCGGCAGGGGTGGGTTTGGGGAGGGTGGTGCGGGTGGAATGACTGGCGGCGGGGAGGGCGGTGGGGAGGGCGGCGGTGGGGAAGGCGGCGGCGGCTGCGGCGGGGGAGGCGAGGGTGGCGGCGGCTGCGGCGGCGGCGGAGAGGGCGGTGGCGGCGACGGTGGTTCAGGTGACGGCGGCTGGGGCGACGGCGGTAGGGGTGACGGCGGCAGGGGCGACGGCGGCTGTGGTGACGGCGGCAGCGGCGACGGCGGCTGCGGTGACGGCGGCAGCGGCGAAGGCGGCGGCAGCGGGCACTCCTGCGTCCATTCCGCTGCCATGCAAGTGAAGCCGCCGTCGGGGGCGACAACAGTTGCGAAGACCTCATACCCGGCCAGGCTTGGTGAGCAGGTAGGGCCCCCTGTGATGGCGGTGACCCAGGACTCCATTCCCGACGGGCTGTTCAGCCAAGTCTCCAGAAGTTTGCCGTCGTACGGCCCCCGGAAAGACCCGCTGACCTTGATGTACGACGAGTCGCACGTCGTCAGGTCAAACGAGTCAACGATCACGGAGCCGACGGCGTTGGCTTGCGCTGCTAGGTCCGCCGAAATGCGATCCGCCAGACCGGCGCAAATCGCGTCGTTGAATGTGTACGGCCCGCCGGTGACGAGCGGCGCGAGGAGGTGAATGTATATGTCGGCGGCGCATGGCGGCGGCGGCGACGGCGGCAGAGGGCTCGGCGGCAGCATTGGCGGCGGCGCCTTGCGTTTCTTGGGCGGCGGCGACGGGGGCAGCGGCGGCGGCGGCTGGGGCGACGGCGGTGGCCGTGGCTGCGGCAGAAGAGTGTTGGTGCATGTCGGGCACCAATTGGTCGCGCCGGAGTCCGCTAAGGAATATCGGCACGTCCGAGTCTTGTTGTAGAAGCACCAGTCATCCACCGTGGAGCAAGGAGCGCGCGAGGAGATGCAGATGACCGACCCCGGGAACGAGGATATGTTGCGGTTCAAATTGTAAATCTTGAAATCAAAACCTGCGATTTGCGATCAACAGGGTAGCATAAGCATAAGACGTTTTGGCTGGAAGGGGGAAGGGAAGTGAGGACGAGGGAGGAAGCGGCGCAAAAGCAGGGATGGATTCGTGATTCGAAGAAAACATATACATAAATAAATTTGGGTCGGGAGGAATTGCTGCGATCTCTGCGCGGTGAAGTGGCAGGGTGTTGACTGTGTACGACAGTGCAGTACGGTACCGTATTATCAGGCGCAGGTGAGTTTTTTGTGTCGTGTATTGTGTGTTTGTCCGGTGTAATGCTAGGCTGTTGCTCTTCTACTATCACTACGGCGATACGGAGGGCGCATCCCCTTGTCATACGACAACCCCCACCCCGCTGTTTTCCTTGTGGAACCTCCAGGGCTGGGTTGGGCTGGGAGGATCTCTCTCTCTCTCTCTCTGACGCTTTTTGTTCGGAAACCAAGTCGCATGCAAGAGTAACAAGATAACAACTGTTATAACGAACTATTTCATCGAATCCAGAGCTATGAATTTTGTTTATTCATCATTTCGCACGTCGTCCCCGGTGTACGAGCGACGGGTAGGGACGCGGGACCGATCTCGCGCCAAGAGCGGCTTTCACGAACGGAGCCCTTCTACTCGTCGCTGTACGACAAAGACCCCAGGGTATCGCGAGCGAAGCCGTACGAAACCTTGACAGACACATACACACACAGAGACACAATAACCATTCACGACATTTTTTACTGATTCAAAGCTGAGCGAAATACGTTACCTACCAGACAAAACCGCTATGCTGCTTTGTTAATTAAGTTTTATTAGTCATCCGGACATCGTTTGGTCAACCAGAATAACAGCAGTAGCAGTAGCAGTAGCAGTAGCAGTAGCAACCGAAACAGCGCACCTGGGTTCCTAGGAATGACGTCCCACGAAACCCATCGCTTGCCGTCCAGAGTCACGTTGAGGAAAGCCGTTTTGTTGCCGCATTTCGACGTGCTGTCGAACTGTGGAGTTATGTGTGGGATGATGTGGGGGTTTAATGTGGGGGGTTTGATGTGGGGGTTTAATGTGGGGGGTGCATGTGGGGAGGTGATGCACACCGGCCGGGGCGGTTTGTGTCAGTTTTTACGGTGGTACGGCAGGAGGGGGCGGAGAGAGAGGAGGGAGGAGTAGGGACAGTATTGATAGCGGGGAAGGGGGGTAGCGGAATGCGCACAGTCCCTCCCCGTCCTGGCTGCATCAGGTTGCCAACAGAGGAACAAGGAAGGAAAGGGAGTTGGGCTTGTGTGTCTGCGTGCGCGTGTTCATGTGTGGTTGTGTGTGTGTGTGTGTTTACATGTGTGTTGTGGAGGACACAGCCTACAGGATACAAAACCTCTATCACCACCACGAAAAACAACAGACATAAATCTGGGACATCGCCGGTGTGTGTGCGTGTGTATTCTTGTGTATAGTTTTGTATGTATGTACGTGTGTGTATGTATGTATGTGTTCGTGTTTCTCATTAACATATGTCAGAACCCTAGCAGAAGATATTTCTTGTCAATCTGTAAAGACTGTATAAAAAGGGGATTTAAAGGATATGATAGGTTGCGCAGCGACAGGAACACTGTAACAGCGAGCGAGCACTCACCGAAATCTTGTCAATGGCACCCCGCATGCCTCTACAACAGGCACTGGAAAGGTCACAGCCGATTTCGTACACGGAAAGGCATGTCGTAGTGGCAGTTCCGACCTGCACGTGAATGGGGAGGATACAATTGAAATGGAGGCAAATGGTGGCTGTAAAACATATGATGTGGCACGTACGTGGGACGATTCGACATAGTTTGAATCTGGTCAGGTGCGCTTAACGTTTTTGGATTTTATCGGGCCTGGTTTCGGGGCTTAGGTTGGGCCCAGCTCGAGCGTGGCGTGCATTTTTTTTCTACGCGATAAATTCGAAGAAGGCTTTTCGAGTTGCAAATCGTACTTACAGTTTTAGTACTGACGATCTCGAGCTTGTAGGGACTGCAAGCGCAGCTATAGGTTGAGCATTGACACCACGGAAATGTGAGCAACCCGGCAACATCCGCTGAATCCTCCTGGGCGACTACTAAGCCTGCGCTCACAAAACGAGGCAAAATTTAAGCAACGAAATAAGGGACGAACTTGTGCATGCGATTCGATTAACAAAGGCACTAGCTCGCGGTGGCGCTCCAAAGAGACAGCTCGCTACAGCGCAACATTAGTGGGATGCAGTACCCGCAACTAGCAGGAAGAAGCTAAGACGGAATCAGTTATCAAAAGGTAAAGCGTTTTGTTGCAAATACTAACTGATCAAGCTTACCTGCTGACAGAAGGACGACCGCGGCCCAAAGCAGCACTTGCAGTGGCTTTGAGCGCGCCATCCCCCGGTGCGCTGTGGCTGCGGACAAAACCACATAAAGATTCACAAATATGTGTAGAAAAGTCAGAGCGGGCTGACCCACTTGGGCTGTCGCGTCACCAACCTTTCGCCACAAAGATGTCCGGTATCACCAGCCAGAAGGGCCTAAACTTCCCGGCGCACGAGGAGCTTCCTGAAAAGACGGCACAATACAGGCATATCAATAACAAAACTCCGGAATGGATAATAGGGTCCAGGGCAAAGTATGTTGACTGGTGCTGTGCCATTTGTGCCGATGTGCGCTGACCTTGAAGTAGACCACTATCGGGGGACGGGCCGAGACTGCTCCAGAACTTCCCAGGCTCAAAGACTGTGATACAATTAATCGAATTTAATACTCGTAGGCGAAACCAGAAGAATTGAAGAGAACGGAATTCGTTCAACTCTATGCAGCCTAACCTTTGGTAGAGCCTGGCCGCCTACTGTAACATAGATATATTAAGATAGGTCACCTCGTTATAACTTATCAGCGAGCTGTATACGGGGGTTTGCATTTGTGTAGGTGTGTGTTATACGGGAAGTGGGCGCTACAGAGCTATACTCAACGGCACAACAGATGGTGGGCTGTCCCAATCATGTTTCGCGCTTATAAGGATCGCCAGGCCGAAAAGCGCTACATAGATAACCAATAGGAAGCCCTCTGACAGAATTTGGCTAGCGCTGTGCAATTTTTGTTAGTTACGGGCGGGTCGGTCAAAACGTGTGGGTTCGCATCTCGGTCTCACCGCTAGATGGAGCTAGCGAATTCCTGAGAACTGGAAGGTATGGTTATGTACATGGGTAGATCATCGATTCTGCTTGCTGCAATCGTTGGTTACATGTCGCCCATCGGGGCATTCACCTCTCGAAACGTACCTTTGCCATAACGCAAAGACATTGTAAGAAACACGTAGCTATTATTTCTGTTTTCCAAGTTATGCCTTGTAAATAGCCTCTGGCGCACCGGGTGGATCCGACGGTGCATTCGTTGCGCGCAGACATTTGTCACCAATTTTGAAGAAGCACTAAGACTTGCGTGAAAATCTCACAAGCATCTCGCTAAACAGTTACATACATGCTATCATGTCCTGATTTGATAATTGCTGTGCTCCGGGGTCATTTGGCCTGCGCACTACCCATGCGGCGAACACCTTGACACCTAACCAACACGTCCATTAATGGCATTAACGCAAATATAAACACATTATCTAATTAATGAGAGTGATATTTGCATGAATTCAAACGAGGAAGACGGTGTTTCGCTCGCCGCGTCTCATGCTCACCCTCCCGGCGGTGGAAGCGATGGTGTCGGCGGTCTGGACACCTCACTGCGCCAGTACCTCCTAAAATAACAGCCCTTACATTACCTTAAGTCCCTATTGCCTATATAGCCAGGCCTAAGTTGAAATCTCCCTAGCAAGGGACGCACGTATGTATGTTCGATTAGTCCGGGCTCTATTCTTTTCTCATGCTGCTCGTAAATTTTCAACAGCAGCATCCGCTTCGCTGATCAACATACCTATCGGTGAATCCAGACTCAAGAGCGCGATGGTCCCGTGTGTCACTGGGGACCGACATACCTACAGGGTCACAGCAGGTGAGGGCTGCGTACACACATGGGTGGCCACCGGGGTGTGTGTGTATGTGTATGTGTGTGTTGTGTGTGTGTGTGTATGTGTATGTGTGTGTGTGTGTTGTGTGTGTGTATGTGTATGTGTGTGTGTGTGTTGTGTGTGTATGTGTATGTGTGTGTGTGTGTTGTGTGTGTGTGTGTGTGTGTGAATGTGTGTGTGTGTGTGTGTGTGTGTGTGTGTGTGAATGTGTGTGTGTGTGTGTGTGTGTGTGTGTGTGTGTGTGTGAATGTGAATATGCCTCTGCGTCTGTAATGGCCCGGTTTGCCGCATTTTGAATGAGGTTGCTGCGGCAGGAAGCTGTCATTACCGCGGGTTGCCGTTCTTTCCGTTCTTTCAAGCAGCGACACGGCACTACAGTCGTACGGTAATGTTGATCACGTCACCACAGACATTATCGTGGCCAGTACACATACCGCTACAATACGCGAAGGCGTTGGCTGTGCAAATGTAGGTATGAGTGTATGTATGTGTGTACGTACGTATGTACGTACGGTAAATTAAATATAAGACTCAGTGGCACTGTCATAGACCGGTGCGAATTGCGTACCACAAATGCTAGTGTACGGCGCGTATCTTTACGTACGGCACCGGCCTATGTACGGCTCCTGCGTCGGAGCCTGGAGGCTTTAAAATCTTGCAACTATATCCTTCACCATCTCTTTTATCAGAACCACAGGTTCCTAGTGTCACAATTCCACACGCTGCGTCTTTGCGTCTAAAACCCAACCCAGCTAAAAGGCCGCTCGCTGATGGTAGATGGTGATCCTGACCCTGATCCTGACCCTGATCCTGATCATCATCATCATCTTGTCCATCTTCTTCATTGTGCTAAAGAGGAATGGATACCCGCCATAACCACCGTGGGGTCACCCACATCGTCCTATTTTAGCAATCAACAAGATATTCACAAGCTCCGCCGCAGCCGCAGCCGCCATCGCCGCCGCTGCCGCGCTCATCCCCATTACCCCCCCACACACATACACCGCTCGAGGGGGCCCCCCGGCCGGCAACAGTTCCTTCCCCCAAGAAATGTTTGCAAAAACGGTTCTCGCCCCCGACCAGCGGCCATGACTGTCAGGCCGACTCACCCGGGGGCCGCCAGCCGCGAAGACGACCGAGGCGGCGGCGACAGCTTCCGCCGCTTAGGCATCGGCCACCCCTCAAGGGACGCCAACGCCGGACATGTCGTACTAAACGTCCCGCTGAGGGAAAAATCCTCGATCGCCGCCGCCGCCGCCGTTGACATGATCAGCAGTGTGTCGTTGCCGCCGACGACTCGCGCCGTCACCACATACCCCCTCGTAGGATCCATGACGGGGCAGCCTGGGCCGCCAGTGATGCCGTACACCCATGACGAAAGCGCTGGCGAGTCATCTATCCAGGGCTGTAGCAGCGCCGCATCTGCGCTGCTCCGAAACACGCCTCGCATGATAGCGGTGTCCTTACGACACGCCGATAAGGTTAGGTTTCGTAGCAGTACGGCACCGACGGCGGCAGCGCTCGTGGCGAAGGCGCTGGAGACGGTGATGGACATCCGGGTACACTCCGTCGCGCTGATGGAGTCCGGCGGCCCCGTCGGCGGCGGCGAGATGCTGAGGATGACGAGAACGTCGTACGGCGGCGGAGGCGGTGATGGTGGCGGTAGCGGTGGCGGCGAAGGAGAAGGTGGGTTGGGAGATGGCGGCGGTGGAGGAGGCGGGTGTGGAGGGGGAGATGGCGGCGGAGGGTAAGGGGGTGGAGGGGAAGGGGGTGGCGGGGACGGGGGGAAGGGGGTGGGAGGTACCGGTGGGGATCCCGGCACCGAGGGTGGTGGAGAGGGCGGCGGCGGCTGCGGTGGCGGCGGCGACGGAGGCAGCGGGCTAGGAGGGGGAGGCGATGGTGGGAATGGAGACGGCGGTGGTGGGGACGGCGGCGGCGGCTGGGCCGGCGACGGCGAGTCCGGGGAAAATGGCGGCAGCGGAGGTGGCGGAGGTGGCGGCGGTGGCGGCGGCGGTGACAACGGCAGCGGCGGTGGCACTGGAGGCCCTGGCGGCGCTGGGGGCTTGGGTGGCGGCGGCGGCGCAGCGCATTCCATGTCCACCTGACCTTGGAGGCAGCCGCTGCTGCCGCTGCTGCCTGTCGTACTGCCCACTGTGCCCAATATTGTATAGCCGTACAGATTACTGAAGCAGCTGGCGCCGCTACCACCGCCGTTCGCGACGTAGGAGACCCAGGCCGGCAGACCGTTAGGCCCCTCAATCACGCTGCTTAATAAGGCGCTGTCGGCACTTGTACGAAACACACCGTTAACCAAAATTGACCTGTTTGCACAATGAGACAGGCGGAACGGCTCTGCAACGACGGCGCCGGCCTCCGCCGCCGCTGCCGTGATGCTGGACGAGATGAGTGCCGCCAAGCGCTCGCAGGCCGCGGCATCGAATTTGAAGGAGGCACGAACATTTAGGGGAGGGATCGCGTGCAAGTAAATATCAGTCTGGCACACGGGTGGCGGCGGCGGTGACGGCGGCGGCGGCTGCGGCGGCCGCGGCGGCAGCGACGGCTGCGGTGGCAGCCGAGGCGGCCTTGGAGGCTTTGGCGGCGACGGTGGCATAGCCGGTTCGTTTGACGGCGGCGGCGGCGGAGACCTCCTGGGCCTCGGCGGTGGCGGCGACGGCGACGGCGTGTGTGGCGGCGACGGCGACGGCTGAGCCTTAGGTGCCTGCAGAAGTTTGGCCGGCGGCGGCGGTTTCGAAGGCTTCCGTGGCGACGGTGGCGGCCTGGCGGCTCGCGTCAGACGCAGCAGCGTCAATGACGGCGATAGTGGCGTGTCCGGCTGGGCTGGTGGCGGCGAGGGCAGCGACAAGCCGCAGACAGGGCACGACGCAGCTGCGCCGCCGCTGGTGCTGGCGCCGACAGCGAAGGCGTACTGGCAGGCCTTCGTCACCGCGTTAAAGCACAAGTCGTTCCAAGAAGAACACGGTCGTCGTGTGTTGATGCACAGGGTGATGCCGGAAAGACTCGTGGCATTGCTGCTGCTAGCTAGCCGCGAGATCGCCAGCACCACTCCTGCTCGGGCCAAAGTGATCGAGCGTGTTCTTCATCAAAATAATATTTATATGCAATAACGTCGAAAAGTTGATGAAATTGGATCATCGTGCACGAGAGAAAAATGGATATGGAAAAGTAAGATGGGGATCGTGTATGTGTGTGTATGTGTGTGTATGTGTGTAGATGTGTAACCTGAACGCCTGGCAAGGATGCTGGAACGTATATGGTCCCATCGCAACTCTATCGTTCCCTTTGGTCGTTAGTATCCTTTATCACTTGCTTTGTCTGAAGTGCGAGGTAGGATGGTGCTTATAGGCGATCTGGCAGCCCTTGAGCCCTCGGCTCATATTAGGGCGGTTTGCAGGTACGGGGAACGCACCCCCACGACCACGTACAACACACACACATGCACACATACACACATACACACACACATACACACACACATACAGATCGAGCCGTCGTCATCACCTGGCCCGTGTGTTGTGTCGGGAAAGGGAGGAATGTGCGGGAACTGCGACCCCGATGCCCCCGATTTGCCCCCTTTCCCCAATGTAAAAGGAAGCAGCTCTCCAACCCACCACCACTAACATGTTTCTAACCCACACACGCCGAAACACACACCGTGCCAGTCCCTAAGACCCGAACAGACACAAGTAGAGAGAGCGCACCGGAGCTGAAGTTGAGCGCGCTCCAAGAGGTGTGGACTGAGCCATCAATTGTGATGCCGAGGATGTGGCTCTGGTCGCACAGCGATGTGCTCTCAAGCTGCGAAGAGGTTGGTGGTAGTGGTGATGACGGTAGTGGTGATGTCGGTAGTGGTGATGGTGGTGGTGGTGGTGGTGATGGAAGAGAGGAAGTTGGGCGGGGCGAGGGGGAAAACGGGGGTGGTAAGGGAAAAAAAGGGACATATGAAACACACAACGCGCAACGGCGGCTTTTCACAGTTACCAAACGAAAAATCCTCCAAGTTAGCTGAGTGAGGTTTGAGAATGGAAGTGATGGTGATGGTGCCGTTGTGGGTGGGGTGGGGAAAGTGGAGATTGAGGAGCACGCGGGTGCACGTTTTGGAGGCGGGTGGCTTTTGTAATCGGGTGCGCCTGCCTGTCCGTCTGTCCGTCTGCCTGTCCGTCTGTCTGGGCAGCACGCATTCGTTCAATTGTTTCGCCCGTGTTTGTGTGTTTGTTTGTACACGTGTGTATGTAATGTGCGTACACATGCAATCTACATGACGGAACCGCGCTAACGTGCTTGGAAAGGGAGATGATACACCACAGCGGGAAAGGAAATGGCGCGTAATGGATGTGCTGGTGCCTAATGTACGGCGACACCGCGACATTCGTGGTTTTGTAACGCGCCAGTCCTACCTTGATAGCATTCGTGGCTGACAGCAAAGCGGAGCAGCAGGGCAGGGAGGTGTCGCATCCAACGAAGCCCACTCGGAAACAGATTTGAGCGATGTCACCGATCTGTTTCGTCAAGGCGGAGACGTACGGACGACGGCGAAATTCAGACGTCAGTTTAGGTCCTCACTTTGAGTGCAAACGCAATATGGGTCACATTTACAATACATGTTACATTCATTTATTGCATTTGGCTACAGATTCGATGGTGCTTAGACGTGCAAGACCAGTCGGAACGGTAGACATGGCGAGACATTGCGAGCAGTGCGGGCGCTTCAGGAAGAGTCGAAGTAGTTCAAAGTCATTATAGAATGTTGGGAAAACATTTACCTCAGAGGTCTCCGTGGGCTCAATCCTGTAAGGGCTGCAGGCACAATCGTTGGGCCCTTGCGGACATCTTGGGAATTCGTTTCCCGCGACCGAGGCCAGCGATTGAGATACTGCAATTAATCATGTCCAAGTCAGAAATATTAATAAAGTGCAAATATGTAATAAGCTGGTGCAAGTTCGCTGTGTGCGATTGCATCCGTCGAGGGCATCCGTCGAGCGAAACGGTAATCCTGAACACCCTTCCGAAATATCTCTAGCTTAAGGACTAAGATATTTTACGCTACCAAAATAATTTAATTATGGATTGATAAAAAGCGTCTGGATGATCGCCAGGCAACTAGAACGTACCCGCTGCCTGCAGACTGAATAGCGCTGTAAACATTAATAACTCATACGAATATCGAGTCAACCTGACGACTGGATCAAGAGACATCTTTTTTTGCATTCCAAGCTTGGGAGTCAACCTCCTGTGGCGTCCTCCCAAGATACCAGCTGGGTGACTGGGGTGTTTATCTCAGCAGGTTTGCATGTACATTTGGGGCCGCACTGGTTAACTTCGTACTACATCATTTGCGTATTACATATTGCAAGAAGCTAGCTCACTGCTGCAGAAGATAATGCATTGCCCCGTGGCGTCCTTTTTATGCGGACCGTACGTCTGTTCTGTGTGATCTGGGCGGGAATGTGCACTACAGGCGCGCACGGTCCCACCGTAAAACACAACTGGCACCTGCGGGGAACTAATTGAATTTCAAGCGACCTTTTGCATGGTTACATGCGTAGGGGGCACAGGAGCGTCCGAAGTTATTAATTTGTTATTAATTTCACTGGTCGTTACCGGTTAACAACGGACAACCCATGTTCGTTCGCTTTTCCACATCTTTCCACATACGCACAGAGGAGACCAGAAATTGTCAGGATAAAGTATTTTCAGTCACGTCCTTTTGGTGTTGCTGTTGGGTTGTAGCGACGCGGTCTGGCCGACGCAGCTTGCCGAAAGTGAGACAGACGGTTCAGATCGCGACAACAGATTTGTATGGTAGGTCTTTTCACAACCCACAAACCTTCACAAAACCTGGATCTGTTAAGAAAGTAGTTCTATGGTGCATGACGCAAAATCTAGTCGCACTTAATCACACACGTAACCTTTGGCGACATCCCCTGAAAAGCGAAATCTCACAGCAGCGGAAGAATGAAACACCAAGCCTTAAGGCACCAGTAGCATATCGTAATTAACAGCACTGACTCAATCTTCTTTGACCGCTGCTTCGAACTGCGGCATGACAAAGTCGACTGACAAATTGGCAAACGATACTCCTGCTGCATATTATGTGTTGTATAGGAAGAAACATTAACAAGGACATAAGTCGAGCTCTGACTCTGTCCAGGCCGCGCTGCCTCGTTGCTCGCTTAAGTGGGTGCCTGTACCAAAGCGGTCGGGACTTCTGCGACTGTACTGTACGCCATAGAGAAATCCCCAAACTACTTACTCCAGCTTTCGCTTGCCTCCTGGAGCACAGCCCTGCGCAGGGCACACGACCTCTTAAATTACACTTGTCACATAAGCACCCTAAGTTAGACAAGTAGAAGACATCTCCGCCAAAAACCAGAACCATCCCCCCTTCGACTCGCAACCTCGCATAGGCTCCATTCACTCCGTGTCCCCACAAGATAGGGAATTTAAAATCTGCATCAGTTGTCGCTAGCCAAGCAGAAAGCACCAAGCCAACCCTGCCGCCAAACTCTGCACGCACAATCATATCACTCCATGGCTCCGCGCTCTAGGGCAATTCCTGTTGGCCGACCATACACTTCGCCGCATACACTTCGCCTCATACACCTTGATGGCCGCCCCCTGCGATCCAATACGGTCCTCCTGCGGATGAGCTCACCTGGGCCACCTGGCCTCCGTCCGTACCGCTGCACAACAGACATCTCACGACGTACACCATACACCCACCGGCTTACCCACCAACGCGACTCAGCTCTCAATCGATGCGCTTTATGACCGCCCGGGGGGGGAGGGGGAAATAGCATGCCCCACGCAAAAGCTGACGTAGAAGCGCAATAATAATGCATTAATGTACGGCAAGTTTTCTACGACAAGTTCTGGAGCGCCCCACGGCAGCTCATCACGGAGATACCAAACCAAGTTCGTCTCATAACCCCAATTACGCCCTCCCTCTCTGTCTCTCTCTCTCTCTCTCTCTCTCTCTCTCTCTCTCTCTCTCTCTCTCTCTCTCTCTCTCTCTCTCTCACACACACACACACACACACAAACAAACAAACACGCGCGCGCAGGGCTTACTTGCCCTCAAGTTAATGTTCACATTGAAAAAGCCTGGTGCATGCAGATGCGATATTCTGCGATGTGGGGGATTAAACAGTTTTTGGATTAATCAAAAACCCGAAACTCGTTTGTTCGGCCCCTCCCCCTTGTCGCGAACGCACGCGTGCGCTCAATCCCACATCAAGTGCCGCTGTGTGCGTATCACTGCTGGTGCTGCGGTGGCGGTCTTTTCGTTGTAGCGCCCACCATCAGATTTCACTAGCCCTTGGGGGAATGAATGACCGACCTGCCGCCAAGCAAGAGGGCCAAACGAAAACCGGGAGGGGACGGCCAAGGGGGGGCCTAACTAGGCTCTAGCCGCTCTAGAGCCACATCATGTGAAGGAGGCGCCACCACCACCACGGGGCGGGGCGTTCCTCGCCCTGTAGCATCGCCGCACACTCATACACTCATAATATATACATATATACATACATACATGCATAACCTCCCCGTCACCGCCACCACAAACTCCCCGCAGCGGAGGCCTCATTCGATACCAGCGACAAACTACACATTCGGGCGGCACCCTAACGCGCCCCGACCACCCCCCGTCATTGCCGTTCGTGTCGTCGTGGAAGCAGCCGCCGCCGCCAAAGCTGCCGCTGCCGCCGCGGCTGCAGTGCTGCTGCCGCGTCCCCCGGCCGCCACAGCCTCCAACTTCCCCTGGAGATTCACGTGGCGCTGTAGCAACTTCTGGACCCGCCTCATGGCGTCAACCGCACCCGGGGCACCCGCCTCCTGTGCACGGCTGCGTGCAGTTGGGTTGGGTTGGGTTGGGTTGGTGTGTGTGTGGGGGGGGGAGGGAGGGGGTGTGAAGGGGCAAGGAAAGAACAGTGCTGCTCAGAGCAGTTACTCCACATGCTATCGGAAAAGAGAGAGAGAGAAAGAGGGAGGTGTTTCACTTATTACGTTGTTATAGAGACGAAACGCAAAACTTAAAAGTTGTCAATGTGTGGTTGAATGGTTTATAAAAGAGATGAAGAAGCAACATATGCATATACATACATTTTTTCATTCGAATATATGGACATACAGACAAACAACAAGTAGCACGCCCGCACAACAAACTTTTCCTTGCCTTCCGGGCGTATGCACATGGCGTGTACGTGTACGACAAACCTTAAGCACATGGAAAAATTCACGTACATGGCACACAGCTGCACATGCTCGCGCTTACAGGTAGTACCGCGCCGCCGCCGCCAGGTCGGCGCCGCCGCCTCCGCCGCCGCCGCCACTGGCCTCCGCCGGCAGCTGTCCCGACTCCGCCATTTGACCCAATACCATGAGCGACGCGCCGTGCCCCCTCCGTCCAGCCGCCTCCCAGAGCGCCACCGCCGCCGCCTGCTGACCCATGGACCACCGCCAGCCCGCTAGCCAGTGCTGCGCCGCGGCGTGCCCCAGCGTCGCCGCCGCCGCCGCCAGCTCGGCGGCGGCACGCCGAGCGCGGCGCGCCCTCTCAGCCGGCTGCTGCAGCTCCAGATCCAAACGCGCCAGCGCCGCCACCATCGGCGCCGCCGCCGCCCCGGCGGTGCCAATGACGGAGGACGTCTCGCTGACGGAGCCAGGCGTGGGAACGCTGACGTTGGCGGCGGCGGTGGCTGTAGCAGCCCCCTCCGCCAGGACCTCCCGTGCTTGATAACGCAGCCGTCGAAGCCCACGGATGGCTACACGGCCGCTGCCGCCAACGCCGTCAGCTAACGGCGGCGGCGCAGTGAAGGGCTGATCCGCCGTCGGCCGGCGGCAGCAGCTAAAGTCCAATCGGCAAATCTCCCGGGCGAAACGCACCGCCGCCGTCGCGTCCGGGTGATCTTCAAGGCCGTCGCCGGCAGCTGCCACCGCCGCCGCCGCGGCAGTAACGACACCACCGTCGGCACCGTACAAGTTGGACGAGCCGGCGAGCGTCGCCAGCAGCTGGCCAACCTGGAAACACAATGTCATCCATACGCCAAGGAGTCGTACCGTACGGACGGCATTAAAAGCGCACATCGGTGTACGTCAATTCCCAAACGTACGGCGCAGCAAACGTGAAAATCGTACCTACCAAGGAACTCTGCCAGCGGCGGATGCACGCTAAACTACCTTGTTTACCTTGTTTAAGAAATGATAGTTAAATTGGATTAAGGCTGTTGAACATGGTTAACAACCTTTCAAATTTAATTCTTCCGGGCTGCCGGCCAACACTTCCAAAAATGCATCGTAACGTTCCCCCTATCAGCTAACTGCCAACCGCCGTTCTAATACCGCCGTACCGCTCGAGAGACCGTGCCGCCGGTGCGTGTACTGCTGGCGTCCTCATCCACTGCATCACGCCGTATTGCCACGCCGTCGACGCTGCCGCCGTCGGCGCCATCCCCCGCCCGCTCCGAAGCGATTTCATCCTCCAAACCATCGGCGGCATCGCCGTCGCCGCCATCCCTATCGCTGCGAGTGCTGCTAAGTCGGCGGCGCAGTACTGCAGGAGGGGCGCCCGCGGCGCCAAGTCCGCCGCTGGCGTCGCCGACGGGCCGACTCTGCGGCTGCTCGGGTGAGCTGTTGCTCGCGACCCCCGCCGCCGCGGCCGTCCCCGGCGGCGCCTCCGCTGCAGTACGCACCTCCAGGATTGCCGCCTGGCGCTCCGCCAGCTGCGCCAGGCACCACAACGCCTCCGCCTCCACGGCGGCAGCCGCTGACGCCGCCGTTGCCGCCGCCGGCGGCCGTGCATTCCCGGAACCTCCCCCCGCGGACTCATCTCCAGTGGCGGCGG